TTGAAACCAGCGGCTGCTCCATGAGAGAGAGAGCAGGCTTTCTATTCCTCATTAGAGTGGCAGAATTTCTCTCTGCCTCTAGGGAGCCATTGACTCGATGGCAGTAGGTTCGGTGCGGGTTTGGTTTGCAGTAGGCTTTTGTGACAACGTTCTTGTGTGCATGTCGAGTTATATGTAAATCTGAGTTTACATACGGCCGTGTTGTGAGGTGCCGTTGAGTTGGCTCCGACCCATCGTGACCCTGTGCACAACAGAGGGGAACACTGCATGGTGCTGTGGCAGCCTCACCCTCATCCACATAGATGTAGCCATGTAATATACATATAACCATATAATATGCCAAATACCAGGGGGAGTGCTCAGGAGATATTAAAAGAAAAATTAATTGTGGTTTTTAATCCCAATACTAATTGGTAGCGACCCTGTAGGGCAGAGTAGAACTGCCCAATATGGTTTCCAAGGATGTTGGTGGCTGTGGGTAGGGATTGAGCAGCCAGTGGAAAGGTCGGTGGTTCAAAGCCCTTTTGAGAGAGTGAGCTGGCTGCAGGCGCCTGTCCAAATGCACAGCCTTTTGCAAGCTCCGTATCAGAGGGCTAGGACTAGACATCCGTTTGATGGCAGCAGTTTGTTGGAACCTGTATAGAAGAAAGTGGCCACGTCTTTCTCTTGTAGAATGGCTGGTGGGTTTGGGCTGCCATCTGGTCAGTGTTTGAGTGCTTGACCAAGGTACCACAGGGCTCCTTCACTTGTCCCTCAGTTGGTGGTGGTGCCAGGTACTAACTCCTAGTGACCCTGTGTGCAGCAGAGCAGTCACCTCCTGCCCAGGGCCTTCCCAAGGCTCTACTCAGATTTTTGTTTCCCGCTCTTCATTTCTGGGTGTTGTGGCAAGGACACTCCCATTCTGTGCAACGGGTGTCTGACTGCAACTTTGCCTTGTCAGGGGCCTGTCAACAGCAGTCACGATCTCAGTAGGGGAGTTGGGTGTGAAAGCTCCGGGAAGAACAGCTAGAAATGGGCTTGTCCAAAACTATGCTTTGTAACTGTCTGACCTGCTTTGGGGCATAAATTCACCTGATACTCTGCTTCTGCCGTGTGAGGCTGCAGAGACCCAAAATGACCTGTAGGCATCTGAAGGGGTGCATGCCAGGCTCCCAGCGACTGAGCAGCGGTGCCAAACTCACCCGTGCCAGGATAGGTAGACATGTTTGCATCAGGAGCCTGGGACGACTGTAGTTATAGGATGCAGTATGCTGTCTGACACCACTGCTACATGGTCTAGTAACAGGTACATTAAAACATTGTGTACAGATGGAGAGAGTCCTGGCAGTGCTGTGAGCTAGGTTGTTGGGCTGTAAATCTCAAGGTTGAAGTACAAACGCGCAACCGGATCCTCGGGAGAAAGGTGAGGCTATCTGCTCCTATAAAGGTGCACAGTATTGGAGAGCCGGTGTAGGGTCACTATGAGTCAGAATCAACTTGATGGCAGTGGAGTTTTTGTTTGTTTACATTGATTGATTGATGGTGTTATTAGCACGTGTACACACATACAAGGTGTACATGAGCCAGTTCTGGCTCATGGAGGCTCTGTGTGCCACAGAGTGAAGCAAGCACACAGGCGCTCTTGGCCTTCATCTTCATGGCTGCAGCTCGCCAGGCCTTCCTTCCGTGGGGCCACTGGCAGGGTTTGAACCACCAACCCTGCCGGTAGCAGTGGAGTGCTATCAGTGCCACTCAGACCCCAAAGCTATTCCTGATTACCACCAGAGACCCTCTGCTTTGTTCAAGGGTGGGGCCATGCAGGAGACTTAACATGTCAATGAGAATGAAGAGTAAATCCTAAAGAAAACTTATATTCACAGTAGCTGTAAAAAGGATGCTGCAGTAACAATATTAACACAAAATCAGCTTTTAATTGTTATTTGATTTCCTGGGTGTAACCTTGAAACTGTAAATTACTTGAGGGGAAAAAAACCCTGGCAGACTGGGTAACTCACAGACAAACTGTTGAGCAGGTCATTAACACGTTGGGAGCGGGAGAGGATTCTGTTACCTATTCTTGTAACCTGTTAGGAAGGAGTGCCAGCATGTCGTAGTTTTCAGGACTATAATTTGCAGTTTGTAACTTGAAAAAGGAAGTGCCTGTACTTAATAAGATTCTGACTCTTATTACAGAGAAATTTCTGTTTAGAAAGATGGAGCATTAATGTGGAGACGGGGTTACTCCTAGGCACTACCCAATCCCCCTCGTACCAAAACTTGGATTTTAAGTCCCTCGTATAAGATGGCACAGTATTTGTGTGTAACCTTTAGACTAGGGGTCTCAAACTTTTAAACGGGGCCAGTTCACTGTCCCTCAGACCCGTTAGAGGGCCGGACTATAGTTTAAAAAAAAAACTATGAACAAATTTCTATGCATACTGCACATATCTTATTTTGAAGTAAAAAAACAAACGGGGCAAAAACACCTGGCAGGCCGGATAAATGTCCTCGGTGGGCCGCAGTTTGAGGACACCTGCATATAGACAGTCTCCCATATATATAAAACCATCTCTATATTACTCAATACCTAATACTATGCAAATTGCACTGCACGCTGCTCCTCTAAGCCATCGAGGGATTGCTTTGACCATTTAAATGCACCCCTCACCCCCAATATTTTTTATTGAGAACTAGTGGTTGCGGAAGGCCGACTTTAATTGCTTCCCAGGCAGCTTTCCCAGAGCCTGGGAGAGGAGCAGGGAGTGGTAACCAATCAGAGATGGCCCATGAGAACAAGTGAGAGAGGTGGCAATTGTTGGCCCTGAGTGGAGGTGGGGTGGAGGGAGCTGAGTGCAGCGAACACCAGCCACGAGGAGGCTCTGCATCTCCTGTGTGTGCAGATGCCAGCTGTTAGATCTGGCAGCTGCATTCAGGGAGGTTGGGCAGTGAGAAAGGCACCTTACATCCAGCCTGAGATGGTAGAAAACCAGTCCAGTTGTAGAGCATCAATCTCTGGTGAGTGTGAGTTTGAGCCAGCCATCAGGAGCCCTGGGGGCCTAGTGGGGTTACAAGTTAGGCTGCTAACCTCAAGGTCAGCAGTTTGAAGCCCCCAGCCTGCTGTGTAGGAGAAACATGAGGCTTTCTACTCGGGTAAAGAGTTAGAGTTTCAGAAAAATCACAGCAGTTCTTCCTCGTCTTCCAGAGTTACTGTGAGTCAAAATCCACCTCGTGGCAGGCCATGTGAGTGTAAGGAGGCCTGGTAGTACAAGGGCTAGTGTTTCCTGCTCACTGAAAGGTTGGTGGTTCCAACCCACCCCACTGAGAACACTAGATACATAGTAGACCCCAGTGAAAATGCTGGGCTCCTGGACCACCATGCCTGACCTCTTCGACAGATCTTTTTTTTTTGGTCTTCCCTCCACCCTGAGTCTCTTTGGTGCTGTCTTGCGCCCAGGGATAGGCCCACTCCTCGGGTGTTGTATATGGACTGCCCTGAGGCTGACCACTCCCTCGACTGGCAGCTTTGGAACTGCAGTTGGATGGTAGCAGGGCTGTGCCTGTATCCCGGCGTCTGGTCTGGTCCCGTCACAGGGTTGTGTTGGAGGCAGTGCCTGGTCTTTGCTCCAAGGGTCCCTGGGCATGCAGGTCTCAGCCTGTGGGCATTGGCAGGTGTCTGCTCTGAACCCCATTGTTGGCAGTGTGGTCAGCACTCCTCTGAGAATGCCCAGCATCTGATTGCTGCTCTTGACTGCAGATGGCCCCCTCACCCCCACCTTCCTTTCTGTGCACACTGCCTCAGTCACTGTGGGGCCCTCCTCAGCTCCTGAGCCTCTCTTGCCTTGGCCCGTCAACCCACCTGCTCCTCCGGCCCTCCCAGTGCCAACATTCCCACCCCTTCCTCCTGCTTCAGGGTTGTCCTTAGCAGCCACCACTCTCAGTGTTCAGTGGGGGTTTGTCTTATTTTCTTTGTCTTGGCCAAAGACGTCAACTCCACAGGGGCAGGTCTGGTACCTGACTCCCTCCAGGCAGGCACCAGCAGAAGCCTGGGACCCAGCTTTCCCCCAGCTGAAGCAAACTGGACTTTTCTGCTGTAATAGCTGCCAGTCTGACCCAGGACATCAGTCTCATTGCTTCTTCCAGCTCAGGCCCCACCAGCGCTGTTTCCCGCTGGGCCGAGTAGCCACTGTGGTCTGACTGGTGGTGATTTCTGGTGTCTACTGCGGAGCTGGGAGGAGGCTGTGTGCGTGGATGCCCATGGACAGATCAGATGCTCACTGGGGACCCAGCAGCCCATCTCAGAGCTTGGGTCTGCGGCCTCGTGCTGTAGCCCTCTGGACCGATCCTTCTAGGAAGCAGCTCTCCAACTGGGTCGGCGATGAAAAGTATTAGTGCTTTTGTGCCCAGCACATGGTGGGAGGCATACAGAAGTCTGGACGAAGGGGTTAAGGAGCCTGTGACTGCTAACCACAATGCTGGCAATTCAAACCCACCAGTTGTACTGCAGGAGCAAGTGGAGGCTGTCTGCTCCCATCTCCAAATTCCTATCTAAGGTCACCTCCGGTGGGATTGGACTCCATGGTGTTGAATGAGGAAGTGAAGGGATTCATCAGAGAAATGTCCTAGCCCCTTCTTTACTACATTACCATTTTATTTGAAGTATAGGAGTTTTTAGAATATTAAACCACCCATTGTCATCAGGTTGATTCTGGTCCATAGTGACTGTGCTGGACAGAGTAGAATTTCCCAGAAGGTACCCGAGGCTGCCGTCCATACATATGCCACTGTGCCCCCCAGAACTGCTCCAGAGCTCGGGGTGCAGCTGGGCTCTTCTTAGTGCATTTTAATTTTAGAACCCCAGGTGGTATTTTTACAGTGGATTGCGTGGTTTTTAATCATTTTGTTGGGGGCAGTCACAGCTCTTAGAACAATCCATCCGTTCTTTGTATCAAGCCGTGTGTTGGGTTTTGAAATGAGAACTTTGTTTCTGTTTCCTGTTTCAGACGCCTTTTAGCTTTGGCATGAACCACAGAACGCCACCCTACCCCGCGGGGGACTACTGTCTCCTGTGCAGAAGCGAGCGCAAGGACCCGGCCTTCTCAGAGAGCGGCGGCCTCAAGGTCTCGAGCAAGCTGGCCCTCTCAGCAGCGGCCTCCAAGGGCAACAAGGTGCTGCACCTGCCGCTGTGGGTGTGCCCCGACTGCCGGCGGACAGTGGAGAAGGAGGAGCGGCAGGAGCAGAGTGCTGTAAGTCGGCTCCCAGCGGCCTCTCCAGGAGGGTGGCGGCGGCGGTGGGGTGGGGATGTGGGGGTCCTCTGGTCCTTTGCTTTCTGCACTCGCTCCAGGGACCACCTTCTTCCGGAAGTTCTTCCCCTTCTTCCCTGCTTAATTCAGGAGCTGCTAGGAAACCTACCTACCCCAGCTGGACAGCAGTGTCAGCAGGCGTGGGGTCCACAGGGTTTCCCACTTGCTTTCTCGCTGGGCGGGTCGGTTTCCTGCAGAGTGAGGCTGTTCCTCACCTTCGGTAGCAGCCCCGGCTGCCCAGAGCCGCTGCCTTCCCAAGGAAGCTAGAGCTTTGCTTTCCCTTTCTCTTGGAGTCCAGGCCACCTCCAGGCCATGGTCCTGGGAGAGGACATCCAGGCCCAGGCTAAGTGGGCCCTGGTGCCAGACGTCTCTCAGATCTGCTAACGCTCTTCGAGAAAGAGCTGGTTGCACATCTCTTGGGGATCCTGGTCCAGAGCTCTTCTGAGAGCAATTTAGTCTCTCTCTCTCTCTCCTAATATTTTGCCAAAGAGCCTGATGGTGTGGGGCCACTGGGCTACTCACAAGGTCAGGGGTTCAAATACACCAGCCAATCTAGGGGAGAAAGATGATGCTGGCTGCTCTCATATGGATTTGCAGACTCGGATGAGAGTCAGAATGGACTTGCTGACCTGCTTGCGGCTGTGGGCTTTATGCTAGATGCAGCCAAAAGCACCAGCACATGCCACCTGCTTGTCTCCCGGCCTGGACTGTGGTCCAGTCAGTGTGACCACGCCTAACACTGCGCATGGGGGCTCCATCGTAGCACAGGCACGTGTGCCCTGGCCGCCAGCTGGCTGGACACTGATGCATTTTCCCAGTCCCAGCTGCCAGTCTCTGTTCCCCTTCAGGTAGATGCTTCACTAGCTAAGCCTCGAGGTCTCCTTGCTCTTAAGACAGCTGGGTTTCTCACTCAGCCCTCCCCCCGCCCTTGCCCCAGCATCTTCCCAGGCTCTTCTCTGCCGCAGCCCTGCATGAGCACTCTGCTCACCTATCCTTTTGCTCCCCTGCCGAGTCCACTGCAGGAGGGCAGTGGTTCCTGCCTGTTACCAAGGCCAGGGCTGGTGCCACAGAATGAACACACCTGCTGTCCACCCCTCTCGAAAACCACAGCAAGGTGCTGTCTGTGTCCAGCTGGCCCAGTGTCCCTGTAGGAGGACAGAGAGCAGCGCCACAGGGTTTCCTGGCCGTTAGCAGACCGTCCATCTCTCTTCTGTGGAGGAGCTGGTCAGTTTGAACCACCGTGCTTTCTGTTAGTGGCTCAGTACTTAAGCATTGCCCCACTGGGACAACCCCACCCCACCCCCGGACTTGTAGTAGGTCTTAATTTTTTTTAACCTAAGTATCTTTTTATTATTTTAATCTTTGCTTTTTGTGTTCAGTTAAAGCATTTATTGTCTTCACAGGGGACTTTATTTGGGGTTGTTGGAATTCACACTGTGAGTATCCCTGTGCAGGCCTGCTGGCTCTGCCCCAGTGTCTGTGCTTTTCCAGATTGGATTGCCCCCTCTCCCGCCATCCCCTGGGAAGCACTAGCCTGGGTCCAGCTCACCCGTGTCATCTGGCTCTAGGGTTATCCCTGCGACTCAGGCACTGTGTCCTCACCAGAAAGTGACCTCGGGGACCACAGAGGGACAGCGCTGGGCCTAGCTGGTGGATGCAGACCCTCACCTACTTTTCTCAAGTTGGCTTCTCTTTCCACCTGGGTCACCTGACTGGCATGCTGGTCTTTGCTGTTTTAACTGAGATGTAATTTCTGGTTGTTAGGTGCTATTGGGTGGCTTCTGACTCCTCGTTCCCCGTGTCGCCCTGATAGAGCTTACATTCAGTAAGACCCACCCTGGGTAAGGCGGTGGGGAGGGGGGGAGGTGTCCAGGCCAGTGCGTTACAACAGATGTCTACTATCAGGAAGACACCCGTCCATGTTACTTGTGTGTAACACACTGACCTGGATTCTGCCGTGGCCCAGGAGCTCCCTGGCTCCCTTGGGCAGCCCATGGATTCCCTCCCCTTGGTCCTGGAGCTGGTGTCACAGAAACGCCGGCTGCCTGTCCAGCTGCTCCATGGACGCCTGCCTCACCTCAGTAGTTGAGTCCTTTTACTGCCCACTGACTTACAGAGCGCCACGGCTGTTTACTCTCCACCTGTGGAACATGTGGGCTGCGTCCACATTTGGCAGTTTTGAATAGAGCTGTTACATTCTCCTACAGGTGTTTTTGTGAACATCTTCTGTATGTGCTGCTGAGTGCGGCTTGCTTGTGTCTCTGAAGAGGGGTTTTGCATCCACGCACAGGAGCAGTGTTGGCCTGCTGTCTCAGTCGAAGGCTGATGGGCCGCGTGGGAGTCCCGAGTTTCTCTTTGTGAGGGATCACCACAGTGGCTGCACCATTTCCAGCCCCACTCAGAATTCAGGAGGGTTGCAGGCTCTCCTGACCAGCACCTGTTGTTTTCCTTTTGCTAAAAAAATCATAGCCATCCTAGTGGGGGTGACTTTTTTTCTCTCTTGGGGCTTTGATTTGCATTTCCCTTGTGACTTAAAATGTTGAGCATTTTGGGGTGTGCTTGTTGGCCATTTGAATGATTATTCTTTAGTGAAATGTCTGTTCAAGCCCTTGGCCCATTTCTTGATTGAGCTGTTTGCCTTTCTGTTGTTAGATTATGCAAACAAATCAAACCCCTACCCCCACCACCCTGCCACTGAGTTGGTTCTGACTCAGGGGGACCCTATGCAGGCTTTCTGAGACTGTGGGTCATGTGGGAGCACACAGCCTCCTCTTTCTTCATGGGGGGTGGGTAGATTTGGACTGCTGACTTGCAGTTAGCAGCCACCAGGGCTCCTGTTAGGGTCTTTATATATGTTGGGTATTAAATCCTTATTTGATAGCTGATCTCCTAGGTTAAGCCTTTCAGGAGTAAGGAGTAAGCACTCTGCTCTTCCCACACCTACCGGTCTGCTCACGGAGGGCCCAATCGTGGAGCTCATGACATTCTAGTAGATCACGTAGTGGGAGAAACCTGGCCAACCTGACACAAAACCTACCTATCCCAGCAGCACATATGGAAACAAGTGTCCCCTCCGCTCCCACTCCCCAGCACCACCTTCGTGAGATATCAGGTGCCCACATACAATGTATGTGGGTCTATTTCTGGACTCTCCGTTCTGTTCCTGTGACAGAAGCATGGTGTCTTAATTGCTGTAGTTTTAGAGTGAGTCTAGCATGGAGAGAAGGTAAGGACTTCTCTGGTGCATGTTCTCGTGCCTCTGCAGCCGCCTGTCATCGTCTAGTCCGCTTCCTCCTAACGGCATGCTGGTCAGCGTGCACTGACTGCTTATGGGCATCGATTGGAGGAAAAGGAACTTCTCTCTCATCCAGGAGTGTGAAGTGTATCTCCACCTCTCAGGGTTGGAGATTTGCCTTTGTTAAGCTCTTTCACCTTTTTATATAAAGATTTACTGCTAGATAGCTACTATTTTGGAAACTATTTTTAAAACTGTCTTTTGCATTTTCCCGTCTTACTTTCAGTATTCTGAGAGTCACGGTCCTGTGGCCTGGCTTCCTTAAGGACATCTCCAAGTTATTTTCACAAGTTGCACTCCCTATTGACAGCAAGCTTGCCTCAGGTGCCCGTGGTCTCGCTGGCTGCTCAGGCAGCCCCGTGAGGAGTGTAAGCATGTGGGGCTGCAGTTAGAGCAAGACCGTGGTACTCCTGCAAAGGATGCAGGTGCCTGAGCGTGCTGTCCAGCCAGTGAGAGAGAGGGTGGTCGGCCGGTGTCAGGTCTGACTGTGACTGTGGCCTATGTGCAAGGTACTGGGAGAGCTTGATTCTGTTCCTTGGATGCTGGCAGAAGATGTGGGGGTCCTGTTCAGAACTGTTAATCTGTTCCTGATGGCAGAGCAAGCCAGCAGGAATGTGAGTCCTCTTAGCATCCCCACCCCAAGTCCCACAAAGTGGTGACACAGAGGGAGGGTCACAGTGAGTTTCAGTCCATGCTCAGGAACACTGGGCTTGTGGCACACATTGCTTTTATAGTGAGCACTGTTCTAGGGGATATGCTGCCGGGTCTCCAGAGACAGCCCAGAAGACAGGCCAGGTGAAGGAAAGATCAGGGTCTTCTGCCCTGGCCAGGCCAACCGGCCTGGAGGAGTGTGAGGCTCTGGCCATCCTCCCGGTAGACAGTCAGCAAGAGGGAGCCAAGGGAATATTGGCAGCATTGAACAGTGGCAACAAACAGACTGTTTTTGACCTTGGCTACATGTCACTTGGTGGAGGGGTAGGAGCAGAAGCTGGTCTGGCTGTGTGAGGGGTAGCCGAGGGGAGAGGATGCTGAGGAGGGCAGTGTCAGGAGCTGACTGAGTGGAGGATGAGGACAGCCCCAGAGGGGAGAGGGGGTTGGGGCTGGGGAGATATCACCCCATCCCACCCCAGATTAGGTTTTTCTCACATAAGCTTGATAAGTGCATGACTCCATGTGTAATCAACGTGTTGTGGTCTTAGGGGCTGACTCCATCCAGCAAGCCTCCCCTGGGAGGAGAGCCTCGGATCGGAGGGCCATAGTCTCAAAAGCTCCTGTTGGGACCCCCACCCCCACCCCCGCACATGCATCTGCCCCCAGGGGACCGGGCAGTCTGGTGTTGCTAGGCAGTGGGCTGTGTGTTGTGGATTGTCCTCCTCAGAATGTACCTTAGCACCTGTACACAGGCCCAAGTAATAGATTACGTCATGTCCTGTGCTCCTGGACTTCAGGACCATGATACTTTTGTTCCTGTTGGTGGGCAAGCTGCGAGTCTTCATGCTCTTGGGGACAAGGTGTGGCCTCGCCTCACTGCATTGCCTGCACCCACTGCTGGGCTGCCAGCTGGGGGCAGCCCTACACTTGTAAAAGTGCTGTGGGGGCATCAGCATTCCTGTGTCCTGGTGCTGCCTGCCAGGCTGGGTAGTGGCTC